CGGTAGCTGGTCTTTCTTTCTATCATTTTGTTTCTCTTCCGAGTGGTTTTTGTACCCTATTTTTTTCTGTTTCTTCGTGGGGTCGTGTATGCCGGGTTTTGAGACCACGGGCTCCCAATCTCTCTTTTTTAGAGCTAATGTGAGAAACAACAACAACAACCACTGCTGCGCTGGTGTGATGAAGGTCCCTTTCGCGGTTCTCCTGGCGTTTTTTCGCCTCTGCGCCATGGCTGCTGCCCCCGCCACTGCTGCTGCTGCTGCTGCTGCTTCTTCTTCTTCTTCTTCTTCTTCTTCTTCTTCTTCTTCTTCTGACGCTGACGCTGACGCTGAGGTCTCCTGCTCCGATGTGCAGCGACGTGTGCAACTTCTCCCGCCAGCTCATGTTCTCGGCCGCAAGGTGGCGGTGCACATGCACCTGGATGCGAAAGCACTGGAGCGAGTCGGCCCACGACAACTACCCCTTGGTGCGGGAGTTTATGCAGCGTGATTTGTTCGAGCTGCTGTACTCTCGGTTCCTCCACTGCTCGGACCCCAACGCCCCTCCACGGCAACTACCGACCGGAGAGGACAACCCGGAGTACGACTCGAAGTGGCATATCAGGTGAATATGTGTTTAGACTTGTCCGGATGCATTTGTCCGATGTAGGCAAGCTGGCCGTCCGTGCGTTTTTTTTTTCCAAGTATATTTTGTTGCTGTAGTGGGGGCAACAACATCGTACGCTGGATCACCCCCTCCACACGCCCGTTCTGTTTCTCCTCTTAGTATCTCCTCTTAGCAGTGTGTTCCCTGTTTTTTTGTCGAGTAGCCGGGCGAACGGCATGCATGCAGGATGTTCTCCCATGCAATCATAACAGCATGTTGGTGCTTGCATTTCATGCTCGCAAGTTCGAGATATAGGCTGGATGCGCGAACACGAAAAAGCGAACCGTCGGAGAACTTGTCTTTTACAAAAAAATTTCGTTCTTGCTGCGAACGCAGGGACCTGGAGAAGATCCTTAACTGCGCGTGGTCCGAAAACGTTGACTTGGGTCAGTGGTTGTGCTACGACGAACAAATGGTGAAGACAGCAAGCACGTTTTCGAAAGGACTCGCTCACTTCAACCCGGCGAAACCCATCACACACGGTGAGAAAAACCCGTTTTGTTCAACTACGCCCCCCTGTGACCCCACAGCCGCCCCCTGCAGACATGCATGAGATCCTGTTTTTTCGCGGAATTAGCCCTGGTCAAAACCAACACCATGTTTTGTTGACGGGGGCGTACCCCGCCTATCCGTCTGCACCCGTTTCCTTAGTGCAGATCGGGAGGTGTCGAGGCCAGTTTTTTCATCGTACGTGTTCGGTGCTGTCGAGACGTAGGACGTGCAAGGTCGTCGACGAGCTCAGCCCCTGGCGTTTCGAAAGTCTGTCCTCGATCTGCCGCACGTGTTCTGCGTTCTGCTGTAGAACCTTATGTGTATAAGTGTACTCTGTACACACGTACGCCGAGCGGAAGCTTCGTATGACGCCTTCGTGCACAAGCCTCCGACTGGAATGACACCACTCACTTCCTATCCTTCGTGTTTTTCGACTCTCGTTTGTTTGCCCTTTTTTTGTTCCTTCGCGAGACAGGGATGAAGCTATATGCCGTGTGCGACAGGAACGGATACTGCTTGATCAACAGCATCGACGGGAGCTTCAAAGGTGACCCCTCCCTTAGATCCTTGGAGGATTGCCCCCTCGGCAAAACCACGCGACACGTGCTTCACGTCNTCGATCTGCCGCACGTGTTCTGCGTTCTGCTGTAGAACCTTATGTGTATAAGTGTACTCTGTACACACGTACGCCGAGCGGAAGCTTCGTATGACGCCTTCGTGCACAAGCCTCCGACTGGAATGACACCACTCACTTCCTATCCTTCGTGTTTTTCGACTCTCGTTTGTTTGCCCTTTTTTTGTTCCTTCGCGAGACAGGGATGAAGCTATATGCCGTGTGCGACAGGAACGGATACTGCTTGATCAACAGCATCGACGGGAGCTTCAAAGGTGATCCCTCCCTTAGATCCTTGGAGGATTGCCCCCTCGGCAAAACCACGCGACACGTGCTTCACGTCCTGCTGGAGGAGTGCGAGACGCTGCGCGGAAAGCTTGTCGGTTCCGGCGTCTTCATCGCAATGGACAACTACTTCACCTCGCCCACCCTGTTCGCCTGCCTCGCGTCACACGAGATCTTCGCCGTGGGTACCTGTCGCAGCCCGCGGACGTGCGGCGCCCTCCCGTACATTCAGAGCCTCGAGCGTACGACTCCCAACCCGGGCGACATGACCTTCTGCCGCTCGGGTGAGATGGCGTTCGTGCAATGGAGAGACTCGAAGGAGATTCTCCTTTGCAGCACGGTCCACATCGGGGAGACGGGGGAAGAGGGGGGCGACATCAACCACTTCAAGCCTGTACCTCTAGCGTGAGTTACGATTTTCTTTTTTGTCTTCGCGTGGTTGTGAAGTGTGTGCATTGCCACTTGTTCGCGTCGAAAATGGGGAGGGTTGGGATTGGCGTGCGACCGAGTTGGATTTTACTCCGAATCAGTCGTGAAGGGTAGAACACATCTATTGTTGCACTGAAAAGCTAGTCGCGCGTAGACCATACCCCAGCCCTCCCCGCGATATTTGTGCAGGGTCGCTTGTTCGCATATGCGCAGTACTAACACCAACATCCGTCGTCCCTTGCCCCCCCCCCGCCCTTTCATTTTGTTTTTTTTCCCGTCTTCTCAAGTCTGAAAGGCAAAGGTTGGGCGGGGAAGCATAAGGAACACGATCAGCCGGTGATGCGTATGGACTACGTGAAGTACATGGGGGGGGTTGATAGGGCAGACCAGCAAAATGAGTCGCACTACCACGACCATAGGTCCTACACGAATCACTGGCGGCGCGTTTTTGACGCGAAGATCATGCAGATGCTGACCAACAACTTTCTGTTGTTTCGGATGTGGGTGCGGCTTTTGATGAGCGAGGTGGACGTCTTGATGGACGCACACAACACCCCCTTTGAGGAGGTTCAAGAGTTGGCGGATGTAAAGAAGGAGTTGGAGAGGCTGAGCAAGAGGGAGAGGGTTGATTGGGACGAAGAGTTGTCTGAGATTCTGATGAGGAGATGCAACGTGGGAACCATCAGGAAGGGCGGGAAAGTCCCTCGGTCGTCGGAGAGACAACAGCCTAGGGGGAAGGTTTGGGGTAGCGTCGAGATAAAGTCACACAGGGTGTGCATGGACCCTGCATGCTCAAAGCGAACGCTCAAAGGGTGCACATGCGAGGAGTTTTGCACTTTCGAGGGTCAGAGAGGGGTATTGATGTGCAAGACGTGCTTCCTCGACAAGGACCGCTACGCGGCCGCCGCCGAAGCCAACTGGCATGGGGTCGATGTACTGCCGAGGAGGTCACAGATGGAATGGAAGGGGGTGTCTTAGGCTGGGTTGGGCTCGACAACGGGAGTATTGGGCGATCGTGTGTGGCTTTGCGTGGGTGTCGCCTACAAAGCCCCAGGACTACTTTTTTGGGGGGGGGAGATAGGTGAAGGTGGCAGGTGCACCCTGCTGTGTTTTTTTTGCTTGGCTTTCTTGTTTTCCCAGTTAGCCCGCCGGTGCTTGTTGCGTTGTTGTGTGACGAGTTTCTCTGAAGGGACAGTTTTGGACATCCCGACTTGTGTCGCCGGCGTTATTTGGAGACGGGGCCTCCCCCGCCCCCGGTTAAAACTTTTGGCGCCATCATCAGTAAACCCCGGCTAACAAACGTTCAGACACAAACACCATTTTTTTTTATGGCTAGGTTCTTTGTGGATTTTGTAACGCTCCAAGTGTGAAACATCTGCAACTAGTCCACACGGCCTTTATCCAAACCACGTACCGAAGTCGCCGGGCGCATCTTCGCTCGCTCTGGGCAAAAAAAAAGAGCAAAAAAGTGATCCAAATTCAAGTTCAAACCAAACAACGCGCACACTGATCGTCTGTCCACTTCCGAGACAACTCCTCCGACGAATGCAAGGAGGGCGATAAGCACGCGGTCGCCCAAAAACAACCCAGCCCCCACCTCCCATGCCTGCCATTGTCTGATCCAAAACCCGCGGGTGGTGCGCGACCCATAACCCCCCGCCTCTTTTCCATTCGCTGGGAACATAACGGGCCACCAATTTTCTACATCGACAGAGCGTCAATAACAGGTCCCGGAAGGGGCTGATCGCCAGGCCATACGGCGCGGCAAGCGTGAGTGAAACAATCTTGCCTCCTTAGCTGAACCCCGCGGCCTCGCGCATTGAGGGTCGTGCTGGTGTCGTAACATGCCTGCGTGCGTGCGAACAACCGTGGCGTCAAGCCGGCAAAAATGAACGTGTGCTGTAGTAGCTGTAGTAGCTGTAGTCGCATATATATACTACTGGACGTGCTAGCGGCATAATAATATGATACTTCGGAGAAAAAAAGCTGCTGACCCAACTCAAGGCGCACAACATCGCTCATCGTATGCTTTTTGCCCTCGAGATGATGATGAACAACACCAATCAATCGTCGACAACCCGTTGCGTGACAGCAGCAGCAGCGGTTTCACGTTTCGCATACCTAGACTAGTAGGGTGCGCGACTACTTGTTTACTAAAAATGCAATGGGTTGTAAGGCGAACCCTGGACAACCAAACAAGTCAACAGTCTAGAGGAGCTATTACTCTGCAGTGGTAGTAGTAGTAGTAGAAGTACAATAATATAATAATATATATCTGAACCCCAACGTACACACATTACACAGAGATATATACTTGGAAAACAACAAATCATGTGTAGCTTGGTGTAGCCGCTGAGCAAAACCTCACGTCACCATGCAATTATTTTGTAGTACCTACGCTGTATAATACACGTATTATACAAACATATAGACACATGCACACCACCGCACCGTACGCACCTGGTTCCTGGCCTTTTTAGTGGTGAGTTGAGCACCACTCGCCCTCTCCTGCATCGTGGCTACATCGATGGTAGCGATGTTTTTAGCGTGATGTTTCCCGCATAATCCGGGGTGGCGCTGTGCGGCAGCTTGCCTCTCCGCAAGATTCGTCAGGTTCGGGAGGGGGCCGGGGGCGTGCGCGTGGGTGCAATAGCAGTCACCAACTGCCGCCGCTGCTGCTTCAACCGCTTCCCGAAAGCGGTCCGGCGTTTGTTCGGCTATCACCACCAAGGCATCCCATATGTTGTGGGGGTTGTCATCTGGGTCGTACTCGGCCGCCTGGTGCTCCCAGTATTCTGCTATCATAACGTGTTGGTCCATCACTCGTCGTGCAGACGGCTTCGTCCGGCGGGTGTGGCACACGGCGGTGGTGTGAACATGTGTGTGTATGTGCGTGTGTTTTTATTGTTAGCATGTGCTTTTACTATTAGCATCGACCGCGCTAACCGGCTGACCAATGAAAAGACGTCAGTCTTAGTGCGGCGGGAAACACAAAATGTTTCTATAGTCCACTATCTGGGACCCCGGGACCGAGCGTCGTAGGGGGAGCTACGCTATTCTCAGGATTAAAGACAGATACCGTAGTAATAACAGAAGAAAACTGCACGTGTCTACTAAGACTGTCACCCTGCACTCGACTTCGTTTAGGAGTGCTCTCTCTATCATTCTTCTTGCTTTCACCACTACTACCATCACTATTCTCATCGTCATTTTGGCAGAAACTTTTTGGCAGCTCTTCTTCTTNTTTCCAACCTATTGGCCAGGGTGGAAATTGATCCATGAGCAGTCCATGACGTTTAAAAACATCACGAGTTCGTACGGACAGGAAACGAGCCAGCTCGAAAGTAAATCGTCTCCGAATCCTATTCGT